TTCAAAATATGAAAAAGCCAATCTATAGAAAGTAAAATGAGTGGGAACCTTGAGACAAAGATGAGAGACTATGTGGTCCGGAGAGACAATGTGGTCTGGAGAGACAAAGATCTTTTCCAGAGGTAGTTCCATTCTTTTGTGAGACCAGACTGTTCTTCTTGCATTTGAGTCTTTAGGCACCCCCTCCCTCCCCAGCCTATCTTAAGCTCAGCAAGTTTCTGCCTCTTGTAACCAAGTAATCCTCACATAAAACAATCCGGAACCTCTTTATATGCCTGTGTTGATAACTGGCTGTGAATAGGCTCCTAATCTTGAAATCAGCTGTACTCCAGTTATCCTCCTCATTTTCTTCCTGCAGTTCTCATCTCCCAGTTCTCATTCCCCAGTTCTCCTGCTCCAGTTCTCATCCTCCTGTCCTCCTCCTCTGAGTTCTCCTCTCCCAGTTCTTTTCCTTCACTTCTTGTCCTCTTCTTCTGGAATGTCAACTCTCCTCAGCTGCGGCCCATCAAGCTTTCTTTTACACATCATGTCATCTCTGTGCCATTGTGTGGAAATATTAATTCACTTGTGAAAGCATTCTACCTGACCTAGAACAAGAACTTTCCACTTGTATAAAGATCTCCATAGGAGAGTTGAATATATCAGTATTAGAAGTATTGTGTATATACTTTTGTTTCTTCCCAGAAAACAATCCTTTTTATTATTGAAATGAGAAATGACTTTGATGGCCTAAACTGATGACTTTAGAGTGAATTATTGGCCTGGTTTATACCTTCCTTAAATGAAGCTTGTAAGATTAATTGCAACCTTGAATGTTACTATATTGAAGAACATTCACTTGGCTTTGGCCTTCTAGAAATATGACATGAGTCATGTCCTACAAACTTAAACCTAAAAGGGAACATGATGAAGTGGTAAATATACAGCATCTAAAACATAAGTAATTTATAAAGAAATCTGTGCATGGTTATTGGGGCTTCTCACTTGAGACAAGAACATTTGGATGATGTAAAGGACAAATTGAGTTTGCTCTGACAGAGCTGGCTGCCTTCTGTCTCAGAACTGCAGCAGGGTGGTTAAAGTAAATTATAGTTAAAATCTATCTGACAAAACTACATTTTATGCTGAGGATTCAGTGTGATTAAACTGTCATCTCGTGGAGAAGAGTTCACATCCAAAATATCTTTTAATTTGCAGCATATTGTCCACTTTCAGATTATTTTATCTCTTCTTAAACATCCTTCTCTGAATTTGTAGGTCTGAAAGCCCAGTTTGACTCATTACAGACTGGTTCCTTGAGGGAGTGGACCTAATTGGACAGCTCTTTTTCATGCCCCCTCTATCACCTCACTTCCTCCATTCAGTCTTCAAATAGCTGGATCTGTTCCCAATCCCTTTGGGGTTGGATGTAAGCAGCAGCAAGGGAAGACACATTAGCTGACCCCATGTAGTTCTTATTCCCTCCTGACCTATAAGCCACCAGAGGGATTAAGCTAGATAACCCAGACATCTATAATTGCTTTAGGAAGCATCTGAGCTGGCTCTAAGACTTGTGATTTGACTGGAACCTTAGTTCTGTATCTGAGTGATAACTCTTCCTTTGGACTAAATCTACCTCCATCCCATGCCAAAGATACAAATAAAAGTAGGGAAACTTCATGAGAATAAATGATGGTATTATTGCTCATGTGAATTGTCATCTTTATTTCCAAGAATTACCACATAGCAGACACTCAGTAGTGTTTATTAGATTTTCAAATGATTTTTCTACAGGCCCTTGTGACTGTGCTCACCTTCTTCTCTGACCACTCCTGAACATGGTTGCCTTTCAGATTCCTTTCACAACATTCTGAACTTGATCTGCATGGCTTCTAGCTCTACCCAGTCTCTAGTCCCAACTGCTCCTGTTTCCTTAGCTAAGGAGTCCCTGCTGTAGCTATGGCTTCACTGAATCCCATCCAAGCTAAAAGAGATCCCTGAAGCTGATTTCTCAAGAGCCTTTGAATTGCAAGCAGCTTAGTTCATGGATATTTTGTGATTTGGGTTTAAGATAAAATTAGATCCAGCCTTCAGGCTCAGGGATGGAGAATCACAGCAGATGGTTATTCTATTCTATTTATTTTCATGCTGTTCTTCCATTCTGAATTGATTAGACTGATGTAGTAACCAAGAACAGAAATCAACCATATGATGGAAAAGCATGCAAAAGAGTCAACAGTCAATCTTTTTAATTCCTTCTTTTGAAAAGTATACATGTTGGGAAAATTATAATAGGAGTTAATACATATTGAAGACTTACTACATTAAGGCACTTTAAGGCACTATACTAAATGCTTTACTACAATGTTCTCCCCTGTAATTCTCAAAACAGCCCAATAAATTAGGTAGTATATTATCACTCTCCAGTTCTACGTATTTCAAAGGTGAGGCTCGGAGATTAAGTAATTTACCCACAGCCTCACCAGCTGCCTTGGACAACTTCAGGAGTGTGTTCCAACCGAAGTCTAGGAAAGTGGCTCTGCACTTTCACTTACACAAAGTAGTGTTGGTCCCTAATCCAGGGGGTGCCATTCATATAGATTCTGACGTGAATGTGTTCCTAGAGTTGAACAAAGTAGCTGCCCTGTCCATAGAAGCAAGGAGTAAAATCAGAGCTTGAACCTAGGTCTGCTTGGCTTCTAAATCCAGGTTCATTACCAGCAAGCAACACTGAGATAAACATTTGGGTTTTAAAAATATGATTTTCCTTTCATCAAGCAATTAGTAGAATAAGTAGGTGCGGTGTAGGGCATATTATATTACAGTTGCAGGTGTTTGCCATTTTTTGTGCACAACACTTAACACAAAGGATTCCAGATGTTTTGGAGCAGAGCCATTTCGGGATTCATGACACTTAGTGGGGGAAACATGTCTTTAACCACATTGTAGGACAGAGGAGATGGGTGTATATATCCAAAACATTGTCAATATGTGAATTTGGGCTTATATTTGTATAGGATATATAAGGGTAACACATTTCCCCCCGAAGACATCACGCTTTTTTTTTTTTTGAGATGAAGTCTCCCTCTGTCATCCAGGCTGGAGTGCAGTGGTGCGATCTTGGCTCACTGCAACTTCTGCCTCCTGGGTTTAAGAGATTCTCCTGCCTCAGCCTATTTTTTTTTTTTTTTTTTTTTTTTTTTTTTTTTGTATTTTTAGTAGAGACGAGGTTTCACCATGTTGGCCAGGCTGGTCTCAAACTCTTGACCTCAGGTAATCCACCTGCCTTGGCCTTGCAAAGTGCTGGGATTACAGGCATGAGCCACTGCGCCTGGCTAACATCATGCATTTTAAAATGCCAATCATGCATTTTAAAAATCCAGTTATTAAGATAAAATTATAATCAGAAGGAATCTTAATGGAAAACAAGAGGACAATTTAATAAGCTATGATATATCTACTCAATGGAATTGTATGTTCTCACCATGTAAAATACATGCATATGAAAAATGACTGGAAGGGAAGTGATAGTTGCTATATTAGAGTATGTGATTTATTTTGTTGTTGTCTCTGTTTTCTATTGTTTCTATTGCTATTTGTTGTAATGTAATGCTTTCTATCTGTAATGTAATTCAGTGTCTACAATTTTAAAAAAGTAAAGCAAAAATGTATTTTATGTATAAGAGAAATATAATTTAACTTTAGACATCTGTTTAGCAGCCCATTTTTTCTCTAATAACAAGAAAAAATATCCAGTTAGAACTGTTCATTACATGGATTCGCCCTATTCTCCTGCAGTTTTAAACAATCTAGGCAATATAATAACCAGCTCTTCTAAAGACCACTGCCTTCATAAGCACATTGTAAACCATAAATTATTGTAATTTATGAAATGCAGGAGAATAGTGAAACTATGTTTGCCTTCCCAAACATCCATCAGGGAGAATATTGGTAATTAGTTTGTATTCAATCTGTAATTTGATTGTTTAAACTGGTGCTTTGTTCATTTGGTTTTTTGTTCTGTTTTGTTAACTACCACTTTGCAAATATTTTATTCTAGAATCACAGCCCATCGTGTTCTAAAACAAACTGAATTGCCAAGAAATACACCTCGTGTTTTAGTTTGTTCAGGCTGCTATAACAAAATACCACAAACTGGATGGTGGCTTATAAACGACAAAATTCATTTCTCACAGTTCTGGAGGCCAGAAAGTCCAAGGGCAGAGAACCAGCAGATTCAGTGTCTGGTGAGGACCCGTTTCCTGGTTCATAGATGGTGTCTTCTCCCTGTGTCCTCACATGGTGGAAGGAGCAAGGCAGCTATCCGGGGTCTCTTTTATAAGGCAGTAGTCCCGTTTTCAAGGGCAGAGTCCTCATGACCTAATCACCCCCCAAAAGGGCTTACCTTCTAATATCATTACTGGGTCGGTGGTAGGGCTGGGATTTCAACATATGAATTTTGAAGGAACATAAACATTCAGGCCATAGCACCTCATAATAAAGTTGACCACTTTTAAGACTCACATTAAAAGACAAAAGAAAAATTCTCTGTCTTCTTTTGTGATGACTGGCTTTGGTGCTGAACACTTTATATTTTTGATCAGGGAATTTTAGACAAAAAACCTGAGTCATAAAAGTAGTGAGCCCAGGGCAAAATAAATCAGTTTTGGCTCCATAAGTAGTGTATCAGCTTCTCCTTTCTATTCCTTTTTGGTTGCTTTTCATGCAAAAAAGTGTTACTGGCAAATAGCAAGAGGCTACTGAAGTAAAATGTTTGTCTTCTTTTGGCTTCAAAGACACCTTCAAACGTACAGGTAGGAGAGAGCAGAAAATGAGAACATTACAAGGGTACAGCTGCAGCTGAAATATTAATGTCATTTTCAGGATTACCATTATTGTCACCTTTATTTGGATTGCCCTGAATGTGGCTGGAGCACAGGTGCAGAAATGACTTAGGACCTGAAGTCAGGAGCCTGGGTTTGAGATCAGACTCCCTCGCTTTCCAACTCTGTGACATGGGATTATTTTACTCAAGTCTTTATCTCTATAACAGAGTTTTATTTCTCAGATGAAATAAAAGTATGAAAGTATTTTGTAAAGCACTGACTGTCCCTTCCCTTCCTGCACTTTATTCTAGTACACAGTGGCCTGTTTCAGTTCACCGTGCCTTTTCCAAGCAGTTTTTCCAGGTGTCCTGTCTTGCTGTCATTCTCCAGGCCCTCAGACTCCTGCCTTTGGGTCCCCTTGGGTCTGGCATCCAGTCAGTCTGCGTCCCTCTGATTCAGAGCTCACTTGCCATTTTATTACTAGCTTTGCACATGCACATGATTTAGGTGTCTATCTTGCTCCCCATAGACTTCTCTTCCAGGCTCATGCCTGGTCCTGAGGGATCAGTCTTTCTCTTCCAATCATGCTAATCCCAACAATGAAGGGACATACGAACAGTACCAGGTGGGGAGTTCAAGAAGAACAAGTTTATAAGGAGAGGAGAATGAAAAATATTCGAACATGGTTAGGATATGTTAAGTGGGAGATGCTGTTGGACACCCAGGTAGAAATATTTAGTAGGCTGCTGGAGCTAGAAATATAGGTTAAGAAATCCTAATTCTGTCTGTGAGAGCTGAAGCCCAGAGTATGGCTGAGATTGCCCAGGGAGAGTGTGTCAAATGAGAAGAGGAAGAAGAGCATAAGGGAGATGCCAAGTAAAGTAGGACCAAAATGTGTTCACTGGATTGATTCTGCAAGGTCATGAGCAATCCTTGCAAGAGCGATTTCCAGGAAATACAGTAGATGCAGGCAGATTGCAGTGGGAATCAATACGTTAGGGAAAGGAGGTGTCTTTATAATCAGTTGCCTGCAGGTACCTGTGGGTTTTATGTGCCAGCCAGTTACAGCGTCAGGGGTGGGAAAACTGCACATGCTCTTTACTGAAAATAAAAAGATGGTGGTGTCAGAACTTAGGATATTTGGAGACATTTGCCTTGAGAGTTGAAGGAAATTTATAATACCTTCATTATTTGTTTAAACTCTAAGGGATAGCAAACCTATTTCAGATACGGTGATTTTTTTCTACCTATCTGTACGATTCAAACAATTTGAATGGAGAAAAACTTTATGGGACTATTTACTTTGGATTTATCATTTATCAGGAAATGGGAAAGTCCTAACTTTCTCATGGTTTTTATAAAAGAGTGTATGTATGTGTAGGGGATGACATAGGTAGGCAGTGAAGACACAATGAGGGTAAGTATAAATACTGGCTCTTTTGTGTCCAGTGAGAATGCTGATAATATGGCATTTCCAAAGCAACAGGAAAGGTATTGTATTTCCAAAGGAGATGGGGATACAGAGCCGAATCTGCCATATTACCTGGAAATATCTCCACCTGAGTTAGAGAGTTGGGTCCCTATGTCTCTGTCTCTGGGTAATCCATTGATAAAAGGAGGGCCCAGTGCTGCATTACCATTAAGAACTGGTTGGAGGGGAGATTATGGCAGGACTGCAAGAGAATGTGTTGGAAATAAGTTCACACAGTCAGTAAGTATCACTTTTCCTATATCTTGATGCAGTTTCCCTTAGTCGTCTCCCTTGGAAATCATCAGAATAATGACACTGATTTATAATATTTATAATATAATAACAGTTCAGGAGCTCCACATCCCATATTTAATATTTAACAGTTGAGGAGCTCCACATCCCATAGTTGGCATTTCTTGCTAATTGAAAAGGGAGAACTTAGGGGGTTGAAGGTAGAACCTGGGTTTCCTATAACAAAACGCATTTCTAAAGGCAAAATAAGAGGTTCATTCTTCTCAAAACTCTGGGTATTAAATATTGCAATGTTCTATTTAGGGGTTCAGTGAGAATAATTATTTAAATCTCTCCTGTGAGGAAAGTATAATAAAGAAGTTTCCAGTTTTTGCAGAGTGCCGCCAAATAAGGTTTGCTAAACAATGTATATGTATTTATAAGGGACCAATATAAATTCTTAATTAAGTCGTATAATGGAGTCATCATGAATCTCTATCCAAGCTCAAAGGATTTGAAGTTGCTTCACCTTAAATGTTTTTGTTGTTGTTGTTGCTGTTGCTCTGTGGGTGTTCTGAAATGTTAAGAGGAAAGCTGCCCACTCAGAGAAGGTCTATAAAGCCTAGGAGCACAGATAAGCATCACTCCTGGTTCCTGGCCTCTGCAGAGGTGCTTGCTAATGACACATCAAACAAGATCCCTGGGTGTAGACTGTCCATGCTTGTAAGAAGTATGGCGCATGCTTGCAAGGCTGTAGACAGCCAGGTCAGGGCTTGCAAGGCCAATGATGGCAACGTTTGCAGGAATGAAGGATGGTGCTCAGCGACCTTCCCATTTGCGAACATTTGAACACTGCCTCTCATGGTGTTCTTGGTGGCTTTCATGCCATATGTGAGGTGCAGGAGTCCTGACAAGGTTACCCATGAGGCCTTCTACCTACACATTTTCACAGTCCTTTCTTCTACAGGGTGTTGCCGCTCTCCACTTCTTCCCCATGCTCCACCTCAGCCCGAGGGAATATTTTCTAGCCTGGGACACATCCTCTTCTTTTCTGCCTGCATTTTGACCAGAGATACAAATTTCTGTTAAGTCTTCTGTGAAAAAAAGTAATCCTTCTTACCATCAAACCCAGAGCTTTAATTAATCAGAAGCCAGTTCTCCTTTTCCTAGAGGGCAAGGACAGTCTAAACTCTAAGCCCTGCCAGAACAGTCAAGATAGAGGGGAAAAACAAAATAGCTAATTGCCATATTAAAGCAACTTTTTAATATCCTGCCTACGTAGCAAAAATCTATGTTGCATGTTTTGTCAGAGTTTAAGCCTATGGAAGACCCAAACCAACATATTACTTAGGAAAAAATTGACATATCACTGGAAAATGTACATAAACTGATTGGTTTTGTGCAGGCAAACATGCAGGTTATAAATTCAGCACTTCCCGTCATAACTCACAGGCAGGCATCGTAATGGCTTTTTTTTCTTTTTTTTTTTGTAGATTTGAGTTAAAGGCCTCTATTTGACTCACCCCTGTTATCATTTTACATCAAAATGTTAAAATGCCAGATTTGGGGTTACTAGGCCATGGTACACCTATTTAATTTGCTAAGGAGTCCAAAGGTTTTTGCAGAAGGATCAAATACTATTTAGACTAAACTATAAAAAGTAAGTGCTTGATGGAAGAGACCTCATCCTGGTGTCCCACCTGCTTTAATATTGATTCAATGGCAACCTTCATCTTTAGTAGTTAAAAAGTCAACATTTGATTTTGATAGTAGAGTGGCCTGGAGCCTGGTGCGCCTTCTCTCTGGGGTGTGCTCTGCTTGCAACTGACATGCTTTCCTCTCATAGGTCAATCCATATGTTTTGTTTTTGGCAGGCAACAAAGAAGAAAGAAATAACACATTTCACTTTCACTGTGTCAAGAATTCTTATCAAGAGTGTTTTCACATTGTTGAGCAAAATAAAAGGAATATCACTTTTTAAAACTCACAGAACTGGATTTCCATCTGAATACTCTGGCTGTTTGACATTTTTTTTCTCCTCTCTGCCCCTTCCACTTCCCACCAAAACACTTTTTCCAGGTATATCCATGCTTCTCTTAAATCTTAATTTATCAGTCAGGCTTTCTTTCATCACCCTAGGGCCAGGTGAGGAGATAATTTAGGAGGCTACTGAAGAAGTACTGAGGGGATGGATCAGGATAACCTGACCAGCATGATAGTAGTAGAGAGAGGGAAGTGGAAAGAATCAAGTTACATAAACATTTGCTTGAATGAATGAATATGTTTCCATTTGTTTAGTATTTACTATGTGTCAGACATGGTACCAGGTGCTTTATATGTGTAACCTCAATTACCCTTAAAATAATCTTTCTTTTTTTTTTTTTTTTTTTTTTTTTTAAGACAGAGTCTCGCTCTGTCACTCAGGCTGGAGTGCAGTGGCGCAATATCGGTTCACTGCAAGCTCCGCCTCCCCGGTTTACACCATTCTCCTGCCTCAGCCTCCCGATAGCTAGGACTACAGGCGCCCGCCACCACTCCCGGCTAACTTTTTGTATTCTTTAGTAGAGACGGGGTTTCACTGTGTCAGCCAGGATGGTCTCGATCTCCTGACCTCGTGATCTGCCCGCCTCGGCCTCCCAGAGTGCTGGGATGACAGGCGTGAGCCACCGCGCCCGGCCCCTTAAAATAATCTTAAGGAATAGCTATGGTACCTCCATTCCAAAAAGGAGGAGACTGACCCTTGTGGAGGTTCCATAACATGACAGGAGTAATAATTGTTCGGGCAGGAATTTAGATTCAGGTCTGTTTGACCCAAGCAAGAGAAAAAGAGAGTGCAAAAGATAAATCTATATATCCATATCTATAGATATAGTTCTGTCTATATCTGTGATGGTTAATTCTGTGACAACTTGAGGTTGCTTTGGATAAAATTAACATTTAAATTGGTGAACTTTGGGTAAAGCAGATTGTCTTCCATAATGTGAGTGGGCCTCATCCAATCAGCTGAAGGCTTTTAGTAGAACAAAAAGATCAGCTTCCTTGACCAAAAGGGAATTCTGCAGGAGACTACTTTGGACTTTATCTGCTACAGTTTCTCCTGGGTCTCCAGCCTTCGATTTGGATTTGCTAGCCTCTATAACTGCATGAACCAATCAATTCCTTATAACAAATCAATCAATCAATCTCTCTCTCCCCCCCCCCCCCCCCCACACACACACTCACACACATTCTATTGGTTCTATTTTTCTGGAACCTTTGTTAATAAATTTATCTAGAAGAGAGAGAAATGAGCAATTGAGAGAACTATGACAAAGGGATGATTGTGACATTGAGATTATGGATCAGCAACCATGGGAACAACTCATGTAATAAAGTAGGAAAGAAAATAACCAATTAAAATGTTTATCTTTGTTTGACTATGTTCTTTTCTGAATACAGGTGATTTCTAGTTTTTAGCTAGTCCTCCTATATGGTAAACTAGACACCTTACACACACACACACACATAAATATATAATATTACATATATTATATATGTCTGGGTGATGTGTGCATTGTGTGTATACATGTGTGTATATATATATACGTGTGTGTATATATACATGTGTCTATGTATATATGGCAAAAGCCACACACACGTAATAATCTTGGCCAAGTATACCCATTTGAGTCTATAAGGGAGATATACACTTGGGAGCTTTGCTGCCCTCCATTACTTCTAGGGTGACTTGGAATGAGCTTGGTAGTTCAACTCAGGAGGACTAGTGATAGGTATTTCTCTACTCCAGAGAGAGCCATGGCAGAGGGAACATTTTCCTATTTTGCAATAAGCAATATCTTTGTTGCAGTGACAGAGACAGCGAGATGCCTCCCACTTAGAACCTGGGGGATCATCCCGTGAAGGCCCAGTCAGCTAGGCAAAACAAAAACAGAGTGAACAACAAAAATGCATTTCAGCTCTTCTAGCTCAAGTGGCTCCAGGTCTAAGATGAGACGAAAGGGACTCAATAAAAAGATATTAAAAGACTGAAAATGTCATGGTGACATTATCTTTTGGAAATACCAGACCATCAGTTAAAGTGCTGCTTCCTAACAGTACAGTTTCCAAGATTTGTAGCTGAAATTTGTGGGTTATCTATTGCAGTCCTCAGAAGATGCTTTGCTGAGAATTTTGTGGGGAGTAACTCCTCCCCCCACCCCAATTCAGCAGGAATTATATCTAATTGTGCATTCTATGTACATCCTAGCACAATTTGTAGTGCTTGTAGATGGGAATAAATCAGGGGCATGTGACAACATTTAGTTACAGAAAGAAGTTTTAGAGTAAAAACACATGTGTCTAAAGCATCATGTTTCCTATGAAGAGTATCATTAATTTTTATAGAACTACAGGCACATACTTGAAATAGCAAAGATTTTTATTTCTTTTTTAGAGATTTATAAGAACTTCATCCATAGTGTAAATTCTCTAGCCGCATCCAGAGTATGAAAATACAGACATATTTTTAAGCTGGGTGCAGTGGCTCACGCCTGTAATCCCAGCACTTTGGGAGGCCAAGGCGGGTGGATCATGAGGTCAGGAGATGGAGACCATCCTGGCTAATAAGGTGAAACCCTGTCTCTACTAAAAATACAAAAATTAGCCGGGCGTGGTGGCCGGTGCCTGTTGTCCCAACTACTCAGGAGGCTGAGGCAGGAGAATGGCGTGAAGCCGGGAGGTGGAGCTTGCAGTGAGCTGAGACTGCACCACTGCACTCCAGCCTGGGTGATAGAGCGAGGCTCCGTCTCAAAAAAAAAAAGAAAAGAAAATACAGGTACATTTTTGCTAAACAGTATAGGTGTCTTCCAGAAAATTCAGCTTTAAAGCTAATCTCATTTCTCTTTGATGTCCGATCACGAGGTCAGGAGATCGAGACCATCCTGGCTAACCCGGTGAAACCCCGCCTCTACTAAAAAATACAAAAAAAAAAAAAAAACTAGCCGGGCGAGGTGGCGGGCGCCTGTAGTCCCAGCTACTCGGGAAGCTGAGGCAGGAGAATGGCGTGAACCCGGGAGGCGGAGCTTGCAGTGAGCTGAGATCCGGCCACTGCACTCCAGCCTGGGCGGCAGAGCCAGACTCCGTCTCAAAAAAAAAAAAAAAAAAAAAAAATTAGGGATATTTCCCAAAGGGGCAAAATCATCTAAAAATCTAAGCTGCAAACTTTTATTAAAACAGTGGATAGCCCGTGGCACATGGAATTTGGGATGCATTCACTATTTTGTCGATAGATTATTAACTCCAATTATGGGACTCGATTTTTTCTTGAGTATTTTAAACTTTTTATCCAATATACTCTCTTCCTTCTATTTAATTCATTTTTTCCAATACATATGATATTTTCCCTAATTACCATTATCAACCTTATTGTTATCATTTTCATGTTATTATTTATTTGACAAAGAGTTGTTGCTAGACAAATACCAGCAGGATACTGCCGGACACTAAAGGAAGGTAGATAAAGAAACAGTACTACCTGCCAGGAGCTCTCAGTCTCCAACAGTAATACTCAACTTCTAATTCATGATGAAATCTGTATAGCACCTCACAGTTTAAAAAACGTATTCATATAAATTATCTCTTTTAAGCTTTCAACAACCTCTTGCACAGTAGGTAGGTTAAGTATTTTTATGTCTCTGAAACATAAGAGAAGTAAAATGACTTGCCCAGTCTTTGCCCATGTCCTTAAGGGGGCATGCTGCTTCAAATCTTGCACTCTTTTTACTACACTATGTCAAGCTTAGAAAACATTTTTTTTAAAAAAAGGACTTCATATTTCTCTTTTGGTCTAGTCTATGTCTAATATAGCAATCATTCATACCATCTATAACCAGTAGTTGCTACTATACCTTAAATATAGAGGTTCTCAACCACATGTCATGACTTCTGCTACATTGTAGCCAGTTAAATTGGATGCAAGAAAAGTATGATGACAACAAAATGAAAGAGATTCTAGGTTTTCTCTACAACTCATTATTTCAATATTCTCTCCATAGTGAAAAAAGAGATGGAGTTGCAGCAAAAAGAAAGAATTTTATATAAACCTACCAAGATGATGAATGATAATGCCTTCTCTTAATTTACTGCAGCAAAATAAGTGTTGGGACCATCATATTAAATGCTAGTTTTACCCTTAAATCTCTCAGATTTTAGAATGCAAATAATATAAAATGAATTCATTTCCTACTTGCTCAATGTGGAGAAAATTAAGGTTGTCTCAACAATATCCACTCTACCTGTCCCCAATTTTGTGGTCAAGATGAGTTTAGATGGGATTGACCTCTCTACCCACCCCTGCAAACATGGGCTCTGATAATCTTACTCAGTCAGAGAATGACATGCCCTGGCTAGTGTGATTGATAAAGGATCATTCAATTAAACCAAAGGTCAGGACTCTTGTCTAACTGCTTGTGGCAAAAACATTCTTACTTTTCCAGTTTCCCTGCCCCTTTCTCTGCAACCCACAGTTGATATGAATGAGAAAGTATAAAAGGCATGGGTGTTGGAAGCTGTAATAAAACCATGCAGGTAGCCAGTCACAGAATGATGCCAACATCGAGCAGGGCAGATCTATAAAACCTTGCAAAAAATAGGGCCCAGAGTCCTTCTGGACTGCCTGAGTCTACCTACCCTCTGTTTCTATGTAAATAAATTACTCTGATTATTTCAGCCCCTATTATCGGATTTTATTATTTGCGACAAATAATATCCTCACTGAAACAATCCATTCAGAATATGTATTAATAGTTAGGAATGGAGAACGTCAGGGCTGAATATCATTGATAAATTTTACCTCAACTAGGAAAGACAAAATATTCCTGTACATTCATTTCTGACGAATCAAATACAAAGGATATAGAAATTATTTATGAACCCTCGAAAATAAAAATTACAAGAGGATTTTAACTAGGTCCAGCTTCCTGAAAAACTAAAAAGATCATCTCTAAGATAACGAGAGTCTACCCAGTAGGAAGGCTTTATTGCTCAGCATTAACACTTCAATCCCACTGAAAAATGAATGCTTAGGTCCATCTCAGTAGCCTAATCACCGTACAAATTGGTGTACTTATGAAGTGATTGATTTTCTGCCACCTTTGGGATAATGTTCTGCAATAGCTCTTCACAAACTCATGCCCTTGCACGCAATGTTTAGCTTTCTTATGAAGACAGCCACTCATTAGGTTAAGTAAGAACTACTGTTTTCCTGAAAACTATCATTACATAAAAATTTTGATCATGGATAGGCAGGCCCTTGATTAAAAATGCAATAAATGAGCTGGGCACAGTGGCTCACGACTGTAATCCCAGCACTTTGGGAGGCCAAGGTGGGCGGATCACCTGAGGTCAGGAGTTTGAGACCAGCCTGGCCAACATAGTGAAAC